GCCAAATTGTCAGTGCCTGGTATTTTATCACAGGAAAAATGCAAGTTCATTACACTTTTTGTTCCCATTAATAACAGAGAAAAATGTCTAGTCATACTTCAGAGTTATCTGAAGTCTTTCTCTATAGTCATAATGGATCCACCGTTTAGTTTTTTCCACTTAGTTTGTCTTTGCTCATTCTGGGTTATTTGTGCCTTTTTTGACTGACGGGTCTGCATAGATACCTGGACAATTCAAAATGTCAATAAAAATACAGAAATACCTAAACAGAACTAAATATTAATAAAGCTAATTCCATAATATTAATACTCATAATAACACTGAGACTCTCACTAATAACCAAGTCCAAGACTGAGTATCAATATGCCCTTTTGCAGGCTATCACAGATCAAACAACTTAAAAACAGTTTTTTGGCAGTACTGTCATTAGGATTATCGTTTTGGATATTGCAATTGCCAATAATAAGAAGGTAGGTTATTATAACTGGAAATAACTGATAGTAGCTCAGAAAAATCTACAACAGCACATTTAAGAGGTTTGTAGACTTGTTTGCACTATGGGTACTTAGCACCTTGCTTGTGTTTTACACAAAATGTATTTTCATCTGTATTCTCTGTACTTCCCCATGGTAGCAATAAAGTTGATCTAATCTAATCTAGACAATTAGTAGTAAAATTTGGTGTGTACCTTTAGTCACACAGAGGAGGGAATCAAAGTCATCAAGTGATAGTAAACATCTAATTACTCCGTAATACATCCTTATATAAAGCAGCTACATCATCACTTTTCCTACCAATAGGAGATATTTTTTTTTAAGTTTTAGGTATAAATGACATCAAGAGGTATTACGGCGAAATACTGACACTGAGATTTCAGTTGGCTTCTATTATCCCTTCCACAACCTGCCGGTCACTCCCTAATCCTCCTAAGGTTGAGCTAACAATGTGTAGCATTGAGGTAATATTCCAATGCAGCCAGGCATATCTAGAGCTGGCTGCGGGGTATTCAAGCATTGGGGTTATGGTACAGCGTTACCTTTTTTCTTGTAGAACTCATCCTCATAACTGTCAGATGAATCACTCTGATAGTTCAACAGCTCTTTCTCATACATCTCAGCGTAGTCAATCTGCTTTGTTTTGGATTTCTTGTTTTTTCCGGACTTCTTGTCATCATCGCTGTCTGCCGAATCTTTTTTAGATTTCTTGCCTTTCTTTTTCTTCTTAGATTCATTTTCTTCCTCTTCCTCATCAGGAATCTCCTCCTCATCCTCAGCCTGCTTCTTCTTTTTCTTGCCACCCTCTTTGGCCTTCTGATCTTTGGATCCCATTTCGTCTTCTTGGTCACCGTTAGCAGATGAGTTCTTTTTCTTTCTTTTTTTCTTCTCCTCTCTGATAGCAACAATCACTTCTTCATCCTCGGACTGCTTATTTGTTTTCTTTTTCTGCTCCTTTTTGTTTGTGACATTATTGTTGCGCTCTTCTTGACTGTCAATCTCATTGTCAGTCACCTCATTTTGTACAGGCTCTTTGTCCTTTTTTCGCTTCTTCTTTCTCTTTAGTTCTTCATTTGTTTCTCCCCCTTTCTTGCTCTTTTTCTTACTGGATTCTTTTCCTTCAGCCTCAGAGTCCTCTTTCCGCCTCGTTTTCCTCTGCTTGCTGTCAGGGATGTCTCTATTTGCGATTGATTTGCTTTTCGATTTCGATCGCCTTTCCTCAACGTCATCGTCCTCGTCTTCAGTTTCCTTCGTTCTTTCGTTTTTTTTCTTTTTTGTGGCCATCTTTTATTTATTTGTTTCCCCAGACTCAGGTTCGTAAGCAATTCCTGGGTTTCTAACTGTAAGACAATTCATTTGACCCATGACTCCACAACGAGATAGCACAAGGCCAAGGCAATTGGGTTCACATTGGCTTATGGGTACTGGCCAGTTGCAGCAAAGCAGGTTGGGATGGATCTCCTGAACCACCTCTTCTGTGACTGCAGAGGCCACTGCAAGTTCATGAAAAATTACTACACTTGCATGAGTCATGTGATCAGAAGAGAAAGCCGAGTGAAAAAGGAGACTTACTAAGTGAACTTATCTTACAGGCTGCTCAGCGCTTCATTATTTATAGTGTTAGGATCGCTTTACGTACCAGAGATGTCTCGGTTTTGCCTGTATATTCTCACTCATTCAATGCAATAAAATAAATAAACAAACAAACAGAAGAAATCCCTGAAGTACATAACTCATCATTTACTGTGGGCCTTACTACGCTAACAGTGGAACTACATTGATATAGATGTTCATTGACAGATGTTTGGCTAAAAATTCTACTTGAAAGTTATAGATTTATTGAGCTTTGTTAACAGTAAATACAGAATTTTGTTGCAAGAATACAATATTTTAGGGGAGTTATTACCTTTTTGCTCAGATTCTTTGTAACCACTTAAAAATCAAAGACAAAACTTAAAGTTTACAATAATTACTTTATTAAATGAGCTGCTTTGAAAACATTTTTAAAATGCTATAGTCAATTTTTTCGTCGTACTAAGCAAAATAGTGCATTACCTCATGTTTATGGGTTGTCATCATCCATAAACTCTACTTATAATTTTTTAAATTCTTTTTAAATGATGTTAGATTTTTCAAACTATATTTAAGCAAGAATTCACTTTGTCTTATAAAAGCCAGGAGTTTAAAGGCACTTGAATATTTAAATTTGTATTGACTCCTGACACAACTTGAAAATGGTGACACCTACTGTTTATTTTTATTGGTGTATGTACAATTTAAGCACATTCTAAACGAACAGAAAACAACAATAATGATATTATTATTATTATTTAATGTACATTAATAAAGATTTTATGATTATACAACCATGTTTGCTAATAATGTATATTACAGCTGTAGTGTTCATTGAAAATATTGTAAATGCAATGCATTAAGACACGTTAAGGTATATTTACATGCTGCTCATGACTGTTCTATGAATGCATTATAAATGCATTATGAAGGTGCATGATATTTCCTATGAATGCATTATGAAGGTGCAGTTAATGTAAAGTGTTACCATTCGTTCTTCAGTTTTTGAAACATGATATGATTCTAGCTACTATCAAAACTCTTTTATTCATGAAGGCAATAAGGTAATGTGTATGCATGTAAACAAGACAGTCACCTAATACGTCAAGTTAACTGTTACATATTAGCCAATGGATTCCTCTGTTTTGGTTAAGTAAAATCAAAATAAGTAGATGAATTCCATTACTCTTATTAGTGCTACACTGCTACTTGATATAAAATGTTCTCTGTTAATACAGGCATAGGCGTTCTAAAGCAATAATGACCATTACAGCATCTTGGCATATAGTTGACTTAATAATAATGACAATATACTCTATATAATGGAGATATAACATATGGAGCATTATGACATAACAGTCTGGCAGACCATGCTAATGGCTAACGTATCAATGTTTTGGTTTGGGCGTGAGGAAGTGTGTGTCACATGTTTTTATGGATGATCGGAAGATGTACTCTAATCAGCCATGTCATGCAGCCATTTTGCAAAAGCATTGTATCTAACTGACCAGATGGTCTTCTAGTAATTATGTAGCACAGGGCAAAAAAACTTTATTCTAGCAATTTCATGGCGAATTGCACACTAATTACTTTGGTTCACTTTTAGAAACAGATGCAATAAAGTTGAAATAAAGTTTTACTTTCAACTGTTTTGATCACTGAAGGTAGAAATGTCCTTAAACAATCATGCGTTACTTGTATAATAACCCATTTTCTGATTGCTTATCCTGAGCAGGATTGTGGTGATGTATTTTCTTCAGTATCATTTATTTCAATTAGTAATACTCCGGGGAAATACTGGTTTGCTTCTTATTACTTAGGGAGAATTTGTGCTGGAAAGGAAACTATGTAAATATGTTTGTTGACTTGTCTTGTGTGTTGGGTGTTTGGACTGAAACGAAAACTCTGGATTAGTAATACATTTTCACAGAAGTAGACATAGAGCAGTGTCGGCCAACCCTTTAGGCACCATAGGCAGCCGTCATCTTCTGAGGGGGCATGAATTAGTAAACTGCCAGCACCGCCGCTCTCCCCTGCCCCCGGCACAAGGGGCATGTAAAGTGCTGGACATAGTGCACCGTCTGATACAAAATAAATATGGGATCTGCCGTGGAGGGGGGGGAGAGACATACAGTGATCAATTTTCCATAAAGTCATGGTTGACTAATTGGTTCCAACTGCAGTTTTAAGTTTTGCAGGAACTGTTTGTTTAATTAGACAGTAAAATATAATGTCATAGGCTTTTTATTTTTAACCAGAGGGATTTTTATGTTTGTTATTGTCTGTTTTATTATCTATTTATTATTGTATGTCTGATGTTTCTCTGGATACTGCTGATGTACAACAAGTTACCCCTTGGGGACAATAAAGATCAGAGAGAGTGCACTGTAAAATGCCCAGCAATGCACAGCAAGCAGTGCTGGGGAGGTTACTCACAAAAGTAATCCATTACAAAAAGAGATGGGAAGTTCAGGTCCCGAAAGTACAAATTCAGTCCAAGGTTTTGTTTCAGCCAACCAGTTGAGTACTCTGTGACTGTGACTCTTCAATCTCAACTGGTTGGTTGAAACAAAACCTTGGTCTGGATTTGACTTTCTGGACCTGAACTTTCCACCTCTGTCTTTAATGGAGTACTTTTTTGAGTGACTTCCCCAACTCTGATGGCAAACGGTAATGTACCCGCGATATGCTCCACAATGCTCTGTGTATGTCATAATGCAATGAAAAACAAATTGGCACAAAGGGAAATTTTGGATTCATATTAAAGCACATTTTAAAAAGTAACATATTGACACTAGCAATGCCTGAAGCTTGAAGCTATGAAAACAGATAGCAGTGTTGTCTTGAAAAAAACTGAAGGACAGGAACTACTGCGGGAACTGCACATGGACAAAGCAAAGGCAATCAAATTCAAATAAAAAGAAGTAAGATAGATAGAGTACAAACCAACAGGTTTATTTACAAACAACTTTTATAGAATAATGCTCCAAATCAGTCTCCTTGCCAGATCAGTCAATCATTGTCAGTGATTTCATTTGTTATGCAATTGTGTGGCTAGTTTTGCTAAGAAATATGCAACGTATATGGTTAAATAAATAAAACATAACTTTTTAACAGATATAGGAGTAACAGTGACTATGCAGTGACAATGGAGATGCAACAGAAAATACTAAACTTCATTCTTTTATCCATTTTTACATTATTTTCAACAAGACAATTTACATATATATTGCAATATATAAATACATAATGAAGAATATAAAGGAAAGTAATTTAATATATACAAAAGCTTCTTCAACGGCAAGAAATTCACACATTTATATACACACATTTATATCCTCTGTGTCCCAGTCCGTTATGCTAACATGCTTAACAAAAGAATCCAGGTTTCATTTCTGAAGACATCGGAATTTAAGGTTACCACAGGATTTTATATAAATGTTAAATTCACTCCAGGTCTGAAATGAATGGTTATTATAAAGTGTTTGATAACATCAAAGGCTCACAGAACTGGTAATCGCTCACTCTCACATATGTGAGATTCATACGCAACAGTAATACAAATACACAGACGGTCACAGATCCACACAACTCTGAATATATTTATATAATGAGGGTATAATCACACTGTGTTCTAAAAACCTGTTGAGACATATTGATATCACTGGTAAACTGTAAAAAAACACAAAGCATCATGGTAAGTTTCACCAGAATACAGCAGCACGGATCCCTGTTGTTGTGCTTCTCTATGCAGATTCATTTTTGACGTTGTTTGCCTGATAATACTGTAACCCTAACCAGGAAAAGTAGTGTGAAGATGATGAAAAAGAAGTAGATTTGGTGGATAATTCTGATCCATGTGTGACATATTTTAGGCTGAGAAAAGACATTTTAGATTTAGGTGTAGAGTGAACAACTACAGATATGTAACTAATAGTAACGGAAAAAATATACAACTTAAGGTTCCAATTGTTCATTTCAGTTTTAAAAATAACTGACAGTACTAAATGAATGTTACCACTTTCAGCAGTATCAGAAATGTCATGGATAAACAATGCATCCCGTTGTATTAAGAAAAAGAACTCAAAACTGGTAAAAATCCTCATGGTTAAATATATTGTTAATATAGATGTACTACAGCGTTTCCTCTGAAGGTTAAAATTTAGATCAACACTGAGTTATTCAGGTGCCGGTAAATATGCACTCAAAGCAGTGTAAGACTATGAAAGACATATTATTGTTTAAAATTAAGTATAGTACCATTTCATATTGAATTTGCCTGTTCATTTTTATTTAGGTCAAATTTTATATATCATACATCATGGCAGGAATAGACAGAGAATGCATATTTTCTAGCATTGTCAGCCTTTTAAATATTTCCAATATTTTAGAAACACTGGTTAAAACTGAGCAAAGCTTGTTTGTTTTACATGGTTCTAACCATTGGTGGTCCATTGCTTTTTAAACACACTATAAAAAGTGTATCATTTTAAAATCACATTAGGTAAAAACAAATTTAAGAGCTCAGAACAATTCTGAACACATCCTCATTTGCTGCCATGTAAAAAAACATGAGACATGAACACTTTTTTCCAGTTAGAATACTTTTTGCAAATTCGAATAAATATCTAAGAAGTATAATTCAGCCATTAGCGAAATTAAAGAAGCAACATTTATTTGGTAAGACCACCAACATTTAAGCAACAAAATTAAACTGAAATAATTGAAAAGATTGCCTGTCTTATTAATTACGTTTAATGAAGCAAATTGCAAACAAATCTATAAATTATATCGAGCCTGAAGATAAGTCACTTTATGAAAATAAGGAGGGTACAAAAAGAAGTATTACCTTACATCTGGGTTGAAAGTAAGTCTGTGGATAAAGCTGAGGAAAGCCTCATGCATCGTTGATCTATCAAAATTTTGCACAACTAACAAAAATGGTGCAGCCAGACACAGCTGATGGTCATACGGTCATAGGCCGTCACCTACAAGGTCCAGTGTGTACCTGGAGGATTCCCCTGCTGTGTAGGTGCAGGAAATTGAAGATCTCATGAGGCATGGCATGGAACCCGGGCCGGGGCTTGACGTTGTCGTAGTAGTGGTGTGTGATGAAGATACTCGCAGGGTTCATAGGGAAGGCCCAGAAACCGTAGAGGTGGACCTCTTCGCAGAGCTCCATGGCAGCGGTCACTAACATGAGGCCGCTGCTCAGCCTCTTAGCTCGAACGCCCTGCAGTGACCAGAAGCGCTGCACATTCAGCAGGTACTGCGGATGAAAGAAGAACACCCCCTTCTGAGAGTCGAAGTCATCCAGCATGTACTTGACACGGAAGGAGACGTCTGTGTTGCGGGTGTTGTAGAAGGCCGGCAGCACCACCGATGAGTTCCCATAAGCCTGCAGCACGTCGTAAAAGGGCTTCCTCCACTTCTCCAGCTTCTGGAACCTGATACAGAGGAGTATAAAATAAATGAATATTTGAAGGATCAGGCAATACCGGAATTTACAGTAGTCACATCGTGTAATGCAGAGGACTGGTGGGTTTCATGTCTGTCATGATCAGCCATATACTCATATTGCCATATTTTTGTGCTGAGGATGGTGAAGGGCCAGATCTGTCCTCCCATCTTTAAGAACCCCCATCAAGCAGGCCTTGACTGGGCATCTGGCACGCCAGACATTTTCCTGGTGGGCCGATGGGTTTGTGGGGTGGTAAAATTCATCTGGGTGAAAGTTGAGGGCCTATTTCTAATCTCAGTCCAGCCCTGCTGTCATGAAATATTAATTGTAAACTTTTCTTAATTTCACAGCCCCAGTCTCGACAGCTGCAGCATATGATTACAATGAACTCTGAAGTCAATTATACAGTAAAAATAGAATGATAGTCATACAAGTACAGATCCTGCTTATCAGTTGTGGGTCACAGAAAAGTGCACTGCCATATATCCATCCAGCCTTTGGTATTTAGAGTATATCGTGTGGGGTATCATGGTGCATTGATGTTTAGCACTGTGGCCTCATATGTTTATGGATATGGGTTTGATTCCTAGCTTGAGGTGTGTGTGTGTGTGTGTGTGTGTGTGTGGAGTTTGGATGGATTTCATAGATTACTCAGGCTTCCTTCCACAATCAAAAGACATGCATTCTAGATAAACCGGTTTCTCTAAATTGCCCATGTGTGTAAACGTGTGCAATAGATTAGTATCCTGTCCATAGAAAACTGATGTGTGACCGTTTGTTTCCAGACATAAATGTGGATGGTGTGGAACTATGCTTCCGTTTCCCATGGCCGTGGCCTTTTTTCATGCTGTCCAAAATGATTCAGATTTTTATCTCTCTCCCCAAACATGAGGATCAGAGGCTTCATCAGAACTAAGGAGCTGGAGTACATTTTGCATTACAAATGAAAGGGCTGCTCGGTATCCTCGTGAACCTATAACGGGAAATGCTGCTTCAATAACACTTATCACATTACATTCCTCTAAACTGAGATGCTTATGCAACAAACACTCAAACATTTTCCACTGTTAAATAAAACCTGTTTTTATCACTGGATACTTACAGGAGAAATAATATCACTCGCAGCAAGGCTGTTGGCAACATGAACTTGCAGACATCAAGCCTTGATATACATGCACGGCTCTATATAAAACCATTAAATCCATTAAATGTGCTTTTTAATTCAGTACATTTCCCTTTGGATATATATTTTTTTCTGTGGCTAATCAACCCTATAACTGGCTTTCTTATGGCAATAATAAGAGAACTGTTTCAATATGCCTTCATTTTCAGTGGTGTTAGTGAGTAACTGATTTAAAAATAAACATCACCTGGCAGCGCCGTTACTTTGTAGCGACTCATGGCCTGTCACCCACTGGGGTTCTGATAACGCAGCTCCCAAGACGGGGAAATGTTTCACTAGGTGCATTATGGCTTTGCTTAAACAGTACATTCAAAGGCTTCTGAGATGGAAAATAATGCTTAGGCTTTCACACCATTTGGCTGATATATACAAAAAAGAGAAAAGAGTTCCAGCAGTGAGTTGGCATTAGCTTAGACTGGAAGATGTCCAACGTGTCGGCCTACCTACTATGACCAAATGTCATGAAGAGCGGCACACCTTTCAGGCTACCCAAACTGTACCACAGAAATGAACGTGCAGAGCTATGCAAACCCAAAGCTATTCTAACAATCTTGTACAATATACCTGAACATAATTACCTCTAAATATCAACAAATAATTTGTTGAATAATACAGCAAAGTTATTACCTTTTATTAATTACTGGTTTCAAGGTAACAGTAGAAGAAGTGATAAACAATTTAATGAATAATTTTGGTTTTCAGGATACAGTATTAAAAAGTGTCATTTTACCATTAATTATTGTTGCCCTTCATTTTTTTTTAAATTGTAAAATGATTTTAGCGGTTTTAATTCACAATTACAACTAAAGAAGCACAGTATGTAGATATGTTGTGGATCAACTGCTCCTGCTCTATTGCCAGAATATGGAACAGGAAACCTTCATACATCAGAGAAGCTAGCTCACCACATACCTTTAAAAGGAAGTAAGACAATAAAAACACACACCACAAGACTTCTGAACAGTTTTTACCCAAAGGCCATCACCACCCTGAATGATGCTATGAAGTCACTAAACACTGATTGTGGAATGACATGTATCCTTATTTTATGCCAGTTACTACTTTGTTTTAACAGTACATGGCTGGTACTTTAAAATTACTATGTGTGTGATTAATTTCTTTTACTTACTTAATTTTGGCTTATTCATTACTCTTTTTATTTATTTGTTTGTTTATTCCTTTAAGATAGGAGCAGTATTTTCTTTATGTGGGTGCAATGCAATTTTGTTGCATATTTGTTCAATGACAATCAAAGGCATCTAATCTAATCTAATCTAATCTAATCTAAAATATAAATGTATCTCTCCACTTTAGCCTTTAGCTAGCTACTGTATGACCTTCCTGTTACAGGCCTGAATTCCTTTTGCACTCTGTTTGCACTAATGCACTACCACATAAAACGCTGTATTTCACTTGATTTTATGACATTCATGTTCAATGTTATGTTTAATAATTCTATGGCTAATTCTATGGATACAATTTTTATTTTAATCATTTGGTGGATACGACCTAGGCTTTTACTCTCCTTCTTGTTGAATTTCATTAAATTTTATTTCACTTCATTTTATCCATCTTATTTCTATGTCTATTTTAATATATATTCTTTACTTTTGAGCTACATTCCTTGCATGAAAGGTACTATATAAATAATGTTTTTTATTTTTAATCCAATATGAATAGGGAGGCTTGTCACAAATCATTAACTTTTACCGCGAGTGGTGTGGTTGACCTTAGAGGCAACTGCTACTGTATTGGTCACCCAGAAGTGCTGAGGCTTTAAGGCAAATTGTGCTGTGTGTACAGAAGCTGAGTAAGGATAAGACCTCTCAGGGAAAGCGGACAGGTCAATATCCCCAGGCTTGTTATCACAGTACCACAATGACAGAGGCTGGGTCTTTACCTTTCAGTGATAATGCTTGGATTAATGGTCACAACGTCTGTCTTGTAACCCACATCCACCGCATATTTTTCAGATATAGGGGGTATGTTGCATCTTTAAAATAACGAAACATACATGGTTAATTAATTCCTCAAATTAGGCCTGAACAACAAAAAAAAGGTAAAAGATTAAAAAAAAAAACTACTGAGAACTCCTTTGCAACAATATGATTGAGGCAACGAACCACATAATAAAAAAGCTCATACATTAACATATTTGATTGTTGTATGCAGATTAAAGTTCATCACCTAAATACAAAGTCCATAGAATCAATCTCCTTCCCACATTTGCTGTTCTTGATGATTCCTCCGTTGCCGATTACTGCACATTTCTTGAACTGGGACCGGCTGAACGGCATGTCCTTCACAAGGGTTGAAAAGATTGTTAATGCTGGACGGATGAATGCACTTAGCCAAATTTAATTCAAACCCAATTTCTAATCTCAAAGTAGGAACCTGGAGTAAATGCAAAGTTTAAGCCAGTGTTTCCCAACCTGCTTCTCTGGGATTTTCAAACAGTTCATGTCTTTGTTCCCAGTAAAAATGTGGACTGTCTGGGGTCCCTGAGGACTGGGATGGGAAACAGTGGTTAAGCCCATGTACATTCAATTTGGGGGGGGGGGGGGTTTCTGCCCAAAGCAGAAGTTTTTGAGACAACAGGAGCCCCTTCAGCAATTGGGGGTTAAGGGTCTTATTCCAGGGCCCAAGGGTGAAATCACTCTGGCAACCCAAGGATTCGTACTAGCAACCTTCTGATTGCCTCCAAACCTGCTGAGCCACACATCACCCTGAACTACTTGCCTTTATTGGCTTGACTGGCTAGTAGGTAAACAGGCATTTTTTTTTTACATTTATTTGGCAGAAAGTTTTGGGCAAAATGACATTTAAGTAAGAAATTGAATAGCAGGGTCAGTTAGGTCCCCTGCAGCAATTTTAGCCCCATCCTGAAGAACCCAAAAGTGAAATCACTATGCGATCCACAGGATTGGAACTGAAGCAACCATTCAGCTAAGAGTCCAAATCTCTTGTTAGGAATAGGTTTAGGGATCTTAACATCATGATCCCAGTTTTCTTTGTGCGTGTCACACTGCTTGTTGAACGTGAGACTTCGGGGCTGTTTTTCTAAAGTACTTAACTAAGTACAATGGACTGTAAATTTGCGAATGGTTTGCAAAAGAGGATTTATTTAATACCCGCCAGGCACACTGGGATTAAAATTTGTCATTAGGATTTACATGCGTGTTAGTCCTTGTCTCCAGATCTACAAATAAAAGCCAATTTAGTTAAAATTGGTCACCAGTGAAAACTGCTGCTGCTTCTGCCTCTGGTTCCTAAATCATAGCAACGGTCAACTGAGGTTAATCCACAAACCAAAAAGTAACCATAAACAATAACATTTTAAAAATATTTTACTTCTCTGAAGCCTTAAAATGAACTCTGATTTCCTTATTCATCACCAATGTAAAAAAGGGAAATGTCTCAATGAATTGAGTGCAAAAAAAAACCAATGAAAACCAATTGATTGGGTTGCATTGTGTTAATCTGTTTTGATATCCAAAATTCTAATAATCTAAATTCTAATATCACTAAAGTAGCATTTTAAGCATTGTATTAAAGCGTTAATCATAAACTTAATGCACCATAAGGGAAAGAAACAAGGATGAGCTTAAGGATGGGGCATGGAAACCACAGCCGAGCTGCAACTTACATCAGGAAACATCTTGAAAATCTCGGAACCGATGTGCAGTATGCCACTGGTGTCCACCTCATACCTCAGCTTAGTTCCTTCTGGCGTGTTTCTCTTGGTCGTGAAGAGGAAAGAGGGTGCATTGCAGCAGCGGGATAACAAGCCCCTGGAGAGCAGAGAGCAGGACACTCTTCTGAACCGCTGGTCACACCACACTAGGCGTGGTGCCATTCGCTGGCCTCTCGGGTGCCAACAGATTACCTTCCTGACCGACTGCGACTCTTTGCTATCAGGCAGCAACTAATTGTTCATTTAACATTTTTATGCCCTTCTTGTTATTGTGACTTTTGTATACTATTGTGATGTGTCTATCTATTGTGATATCTGTCTATTTGTGTATTGTCTGCTACGGCAGTTTGGTCAGGGGAAATGACATTCAATTATATTTATATATATATATATAAATACACATAAAAATGACCAAATAAAGCACCAAATCATGGCATTGATGGATACTTACTTGAAAGCATTGGCTTCCACATTGTTTTGCTCCCATTTGCACACCTGGAGATTTCGCCATCTATCAAAAAGATCAGTTGTCTTTACCCTGAATAGGACAAAAAATAAAAAATAAAACAGATTTAAGTGACACAGATAAATGGCTACTGGTAACAGAGATATAGATACTTAATTGAGATCATTGGCAGATCAGTATTATTTTCAAGGCATTGGCACTGAGGCACAACAGTACAATGGGGGTGTCTGAAGAGGAAAGTGGTGACTGTCACCGTGCACAAAATAAAAAAATGCACCATAATTTCTTAGACTATACAATTTGTTTAGCTAATGTCTTGTTGTTTATGTATTCATCCAGAAAAGTTCAAGCAAAATATATTCTTTGTTCTATGATCAATATGAAAATGGGGGGACACCAACTGTTTCAGCTGGGGGC